TTGTGGACGCATTTCAGCAAACTTCGACTTCTTAACTTTGGCATCTTTCCCATGGGCTTTCATAAAGATTTCATACGCTTCCATAACAGTCATTGTTAAGTGGTTTTTCTTTTCCTTAGATTTGGTGCCATCGTTGTGCCGCACAGCTATTATGTCTGCTTTTCCAGGCATCACACGTAAAATTTCATCACTTAGGTAGAACTGCTAGATGTTACGTATTGTTTCCGCACTTATTCTATTGCGATGCAGCTCTAAAGGTTGGACAATGACTGCTTCTGATTCAATAAGTTTTCTAAGTACAGCCTGTCTTTTATTTGGACTTATTGGGAGACCACGTTCCACCCGGCGTTTTGCTTTGCCAAGTGAGGCGGCGGTCTTGTATGCAGTTGTTGGATTTGCTACAACAACTCTGAGCACATTTGCTGTCTTTCTTTCTCTCCATCTTCTCGTATTCTTTTTCACTTTGTCTCGATAGTGCGTTAGTTCCCTTTGTGTCCACAAGGAACGATATTCGGATTTTCCCGCTCTCTCTATTTGTAGATAGGTATTCTATAGTTATTTATTTTGTTTAATTCTTTGTCGTCTGTCACGCTGCCTCTCAGCTGCCGTCTTTGCCATATCTGAGCTGGAGGTATACATAAGACAGACATATCAGCCTAAAACTCCAACAATGTAAAATTACGTAACCTAACAACCTGATGAAGGAGAAACAAAGTTGCAAAACGACTAGTTTTCTTTCCCCTACATTGTTGCTAGTAGTCATAAGAGCCTGGACGGCATAACTGGACTTCAGTGATTCCGTCACGGACTAAAATGTGATTCCATCACGGACTAAAATGTGATTCCGTCACGGACTAAAATGTGATTCCGTCACGCATCACTTTGAAAATAATATACATCTACCAGCAAAATCAATATGTGCCCCGTAAAGAATGGTGAGTTTACTTAATAAAAGTGAACTATGGTCATTATATAAGTGAAGAATATCTTGTGATAAAATAATCTTAGATATAATGTGACGGAATCACATGGGGCACCCAACATTTTCACACCAAAGTTATTACATCATTATTATTTTTGTTTTTCGTTTGGGTATGGAAGGGACTAGCTCAAAATAATCTCTGGATATACCTCTTTAAAATGATACCAAGAAATGATACGTACTCACCGTAAAAACGTGGGTGACAGCGGATTGAAAAAGGTTAAAAGTTCGTAGCAGACGATGTATCTTGATGAGAATCTAAGATGGCGGTTAACAATAGTTCCGCAGAAAACGAAATTAAGCGCCAAAAAATTTTTAAATGCCAAAAATTACAAATATATGTACCCTAATGTTAAACTCTAAGTTTAAAAATCATATTAGACTCATTTCAATTATTCCTGGCCCAGTATCGTTTCTCGTGGAATTCATGTATGTAATGCTACAATGTATGCGTTTCTGTATTAATTTCGCTTTCGTGTTATGGTTACGTTTAGCAGAACTCAGGGTTATACACTACAATTGGTATTCAGCCGAACTGTTGTTCTATTTTTTATTGTAAAAGTTTGTTTTAACAACTATGACTAAGAGAGGACATTACGCTTACTAGTTTTTTCCTGTACTCGCTGTCCTCTACAATCTTTGTACACAGATCATTCATTCCCTTACAAAAATTTAAGCAATCCACATGCAATCGACGATCTCAATGGTGCAGAGGATTGCTTATCTGACTGCTTAATAAGCAATCAGGACCGATTATCGATTGCTTGGGACTGATCGATTGCTTAATAAGCAATCGGGACCGATCTTCGATTGCTTAATAAGCAATCGGGACTGATCATCGATTGCTTAATTAGCCATTGGGTACCGATCATCGATTGCTTACCTGATCAGTCCCGATTGCTTAATAAGCAATCGACGATCATTTAAGCTATCCTCTGCACCATTGAGCGCTTATTTTAAGCAATCATTGATCTCTTGATCGGTCCCAAGAGATTGATGATTGCTTATTCATCATAACAAAATCCAAGAGCTCTCACGACCAATCACTGATCATTTAAGCAATCACCGATTGCTTAAGCAATCGCTGATTACTTGAAAATGTCTTGACTTCTATCAGAGCTGCTACAGTAGATTAATAATCCGTTATCCAAAACCTGCCATCCACACAATAGACAACACTGCACTGTTGTAAGAAAATTATATACGCATGTATTTTGAGCACAATGTACTCACTTTCAGCACAAATTATGTATCTGCGACAGCATTTGATTTTTTTCAAGTTTTTTCTTTAGTCTCTTCTGCAATTGCTCCAGACACTGTTGAAAATCGAGTTAAAATCCTTTTTTTAATGACTGGAGTGCTATCCACGGATCGGACATTTCCCCGATAGTGGCTAGCGGTCGACCGAGAACATCTTCAATATCATCGGCAACTCCTCTATCAGAGTTTCTGATTTCTCTGAGCAGAGATATCTGCTCCCTTTGGTTGTTTATTATCGTGTCAAGTTTCATCAGGACATTCGGACGGATTGTTTTGCGCTCCCAAGTTATCGGTGTGGACTCCAAACTCGATGTACAAAGGCTTTACTGCCTCCAGGTAAGATTTCAGTAGAAATACACTTGAAAGCAGGCGTACAGGTGCAGACGCAAAATCCACAATGAACACTGTAGTGATGTGTTAAAAGCAGATTTATGCTTGTTTGTCTGACTGCTGCTGAGTTGGGTGTCAGGAGAAATTACCGAGATATCAGCCCATGATGAACAACCGGGTTGGGGTTCAGGTATTTTATCTGGAGTCGAAAGCAATGGCTGTGGCTGCACTTCAGGAAGGTCATCTGGTTGCATTTCAGGAACATCATCTGCCCCTGCTTAAAATTGAGGGGCATTCCTGGTTCTCTGGTTGTATGACAGGAATCTCGATATCTGTTGTTTCAGCTACCAAATCCACCTCTTTGAAGACATTACGCTGAACTGGCCAGATTCCAGTTTTGTGAAACCCATTGATGGCAGTGTCCGTAGATGCTGCTTGTATAAACGCTTTACCAAACAAGCTTGCAATCTGGTATTGTGTAACAACACGCCCTGGATGTGTGCGAAGCCAAGATTACTGTGTAATGGTAGTATTTAATGTACTATCGTGAATAGTATATAGTGGTACGCGTCGTTATTATCACGGGTGCTAAACGTCTGTTATATACACACATAAAGAACGCAAGACTGATGTACGTATTTCAAGCGAGTACATGTTTAATAAACAGAACACTAACTAACGTATAAGCCCACGCACGGGGCAGAACGCGTACATATGCTTGCGCGACACATGAACATAACTTACGATTGAAACGGTTGATAGACTGAGTCAACGAACTGTTTCGTCACAGTTAAAAATCTGATTTGGTGTCAGTTTGTATTTATCAACAAGTCGCTCTAGCAAGCCAAAAACATAGAGACTGCAACTTTGTTGAAGCCCATTGCTCGGGCAGCTGAAGTCAGTTCTGGTTTACGCAGTGATAGGTCTGCATGTCTCTTCATGAAGCCTTCTAGCCAATCTACCCCAGCCATCTCATCTTTTCTGTTAAATGGATGTGGTATCTTGTTTCGTTCAGCTAGTTGAAATGCCAGCATTTGTAATTCTTTGGTGCTAAATCCAAATAGTTTTGCCTCCATCAGCTTGAGGTACTGAACCAGCTCATCCTCTTGTTCTGTGGTGAAGATTGGTTTGTATTTACCCAGACAATTTTGGGTATCTGTGGCTACTTATGGGTCTTCACGGTATTTCATAACCCGTCTTTCAAGTGTAGTCTGTGGCACATTGTACTGGGCTGAGGCTTTCCTGTATCTCATTACACCATATACCACATCTTCAATTACCTGTCCTATAGATTCCTCCGACCAACTTTGTCGGTCAGTCTTACGTTTGTACTTTCGAACCATGCTATTTAAAAGAAAGGAAAGTCAAAATTAGGGAATGCCAACATATATCTTATTTACTTTCTAACAGAATGATAATGGGGCAAAATGGGGACACCCACCCCATTTTGCCCCAAGCATTCCAGTCAGAAAAATGGCCGACAAATTTCGCAGGGCTTATTCAATGTCAAAAGTTAATTACCCTTAATCATGCCAAGTCTACCTAGTTCAAAACCAGAAAATATTTATTTGGATGAGATTGTTCTTGGACAAATAGCAGCACATCATAGACAACCCTTATATTTTAAGAAAATTTTGAAAAATCGATAATTTCGAACCATATTTACCTGAAATGTCTTCTTCTTCACTACACATGCTACACGAGGTCTCTGACGTAATGAATAGTTCAGAGTATGTATAAAAGATGGCAGTACTGTAGAATTAAAAATATAGCAAAACCTCGTTTTGCCCCATGACCCCGTTTTTCCCGATGTTCCCCTACACATCAGGGCCGTATCCAGGGGGGGGGGGGTATTTGGTTTCTGTAACCCCCCTTGTTTGCTCCAAAAAAAGTACTAGTTTAAACTTAGTAACATGTTTGGACCTACAGTTGTTTACTTGGGTATTACTCGGTTACATTGGGATCTATACAAATAAATGTAAAGTGATACTAAATGGGTATAACAGGTGTCAACTAGTCAAATTTAATGGGTAAAAGTTTAAAACCGAGCCTGGTGCCATACATTGTTTATTTAATAATCCAATAATGAAAACAATATCATGTGAACATTTGTGTATCACGGCAGGTCACATTCGTGTAGGAGACGGCAGGGGCCAGATTTATCATAGCTTCTTAGCACGGCGGGCTGGGGTAAGCGGGGCGTAGGCATGCCGTGCCACTTAAGTGCGATTCATCAAGCCAATTAGCCTACGTCAACGTAGCCCGCGCATACATAGCGATTTAAGTCGCGATTCATCAACGCGCTACGCTGACGTCCACTGTGTATAACTCTACGACAGCCAGAGAGCTGTCGTAGCTGCACTGCGGCATGTTTTCGCACAGTCAGTGCCTATAATCTTGTAACAAAAGGTGTTTGTTCACACCTACACTAGTTTATGACACCTACACTAGTTTATGACACCTACACTAGTTTAAGGCTGGTGGTCGGAACCAAAGACTTTCTGTTGACATCCTGCTTAGACAAGCATCCACGTAAGTTTGGGCGAGTCAATCGCACACAAACGCGCGCACACCATACATCAAAAAGTCAGTGGAAGAGATGGCAGCGTTTGCAGCAGCGGCAGAAATAGTACAGAGACGAGCAATTCGCAGAGAGCGTGTATTTAGAGATCGACAGGATCCATTCGATTTGCCGGACCACACGCTGTTCAATCGCTACAGATTTCCTCGGCATGCATTGTTGGATTTGGCAAATGAACTTTGCCCGTTAATAGAGCTACCAACAAGGTTTGTTTCAATTACTAATTTGTTTAGGATAAATATAATATTATCATGCAATACTAAATTGCAGGTGATCCTGCAGAACTATAATGAGTGTAATTATACAGTGAGCTCTCCTACATTAATGATTGCATTGAAACGCGTACACTTGAAAGGCAGATTTGTAATGAGCATTAAATTTAAACTAGAGTGCATTCAGTTTAAATGCTGTCAGCGATATTAGCAATATATATTTTTTTAAATACTTTGTTTGTTGATAAACTGTTTTTTTTCCAAAAAGGCGAAGCATGGCAACTCCAGCCGTAACCCAGTTGGCAGTGACACTAAGCCTACTTGCATCTGGTTCCTTCCAATGGGGTATGGGTGAACTGCACGGAATATCGCAGGCACACACAGCTTGTCGTTGTTTGCATCGAGTTGTGTCCGTGATCATCGGAGAAAAATTAAGAACAACGATCAAATTCCCTCAGACGCAGACCGAGAGAACGAAAGTGATGCATGAATTCAGCCAGATTTCAGGGTTTCCCCGTGTCCTCGGTGCGATCGACTGCACACACATAGCTATTCGTGCTCCTGCTGGCGACATGGAATATGTCTACATAAATCGGAAGAACTATCATTCGATGAAAGTACAGGCTATCTGTGATGCCAACATGACCATCACAGATGTCGTAGCTCGCTATCCTGGTAGCACACACGACAGCTTCATCCTTGCGAACTCCAAGATAGCACGCAAATTCAGTGACGGTGAACTGGGTGAAGGCTGGTTGTTAGGGGACAGTGGCTATCCATTAAAGTCCTGGCTAATGGTTCCACTAAAGAACGTCCAAACAGCAGCCGAGGAGCGGTACAACAGGGCTCATTCACGCACACGATCAATTGTTGAGAGATGCTTCGGATTAATGAAATTAAGATTCCGCATTCTAGACAAATCCGGTGGCATTCTGCTGTATACTCCTGAGAGGACAATTAAAATATTTACTGCAGTAGCAATAATGCACAACCTTGCTATCGCATACAGGTTGCCAGAGGTGGCAGAAGTAGAAGTGCAAAACGAAGAAGCTGCTGAATTCATCGACCCAGAGATTGATGTTGCAGCGGCTAATGTCAGGCGGCAACTCATACGCGTATGTTTTACGTGACTTGTCGTTCAAGTAGTAAAACATAAACGGACGAAAGTTGTATTCTCTATAAACGGTGCTAACTGTTAAATGTATATATTGAATGGTTTATCAAATTGTACATATACAGAAATACGGCAATAGGTTTATATAAGCAAAAGTCAATGTTTATGCACAATAAAAATCAATATCTTTAATATCATCTTGCTGACAAAATATGTTTCTAATCGATAACAATGATATGACGTTGATAATATGCTGACTATCCTGTGCTGACTAAAACAATTCTTTTGTATAATGTGTGCAGTTACGTGCACAGTATATATATATATATATATATATATATATATATATATATTGCAAATATATTCACAGCGTAAAATACATTTCTTCACGTGCAGATTCGATTACTGGACCATACTTGGTCTCTTTCAGCGCAAGCATCCTTCTCTCAATTAGCACATGTTCCTGTAACATATTAGCTAGTGTATTTTGTGCGACCGCAATATCAGTTATTCTAACGAGTATTTTGCGCTCTACCTGTAGCATCGCAGTGATTGGGTCGTGTTTCACTTTTCTTGATGATTGTTTGCGCTTGCGTCTAAGAGCGAGAGAAGGTACAGTGGAAGCAGCAGTGGTGATTACTGAGGTGCCTGGCTGAGGAGAGTTTGGTCGAGGTGTCGCTGCTTGGCTTGAAGTTTGGGTTGCCTCCGATAATATGGTAGACACTAAAAAATTAATTTAGGTTAGTGTGTTAGTTAGTTAGTTAGATAGTTAGTTATCTAGAGCATATTTTGTTAGTGTATGTACGATAGTGTATGTATGTAAGTATGCATTAATGGAGTTTTGTTTATCATAGTGTGAGAAACAATCGTTATACAGTTTTCCACTGATGATACGGAAGCCACTATAAATAAATGAACGATCGTTTAGTATCTTATGTTATAAGAAAAATTATAATGTTTGAGTTTCTGTTTTCATGAAATATTGAGCGACAGTATTTATGCCATGAATTCATTCTAATGACTCACCTTCAGGTTTTTCGCTGGTATCGATATATCCTGCTATCCCTTCCACAGCTTCCTGCCCAATTATTGCGAGGATGCTTTCAGTCCTTGCATCCAGAGGTGGGGGAGGTGGGCCGCCGCCAGTCTGAACTGAGCTTCTTTTGTGCTCCGCTCCCGCTTTCTTAGCAACAGTCTTCTGGTCAGACCATTTTTTTAAATCTATTTGTGAAGGATATCAATTGATAAAATTAACATTTTAGAAATTATACAAAACTATCTATACTGCGGCTACTACTATTACAAACGCTTTCAAATTATTTTTTAGTTTTGAATTTCATTTTCCCACTCTCTACTACTACAGACTGTACTGGCTGCAAATAATAAAAATCTAACTGAATCAACCACTATGCCAAAACGTACGCTTACCTCAATGACGCTACGCCTTCACTGCTGCCTGCACCGCTTCCCATGCTTTTCTCTTCTTTGTGAGAGTAATTTCCATGGAAAAGGGTAAAAATAGTACATATTTGCGCTTCCCTATTTCTTCAATTATCATGCTTATCTCGTCATCGCTATAGTTCGTCTTTCTTTTCTTGCTTGGATTAGGCATGATAGTTGGTGCGGATATTCAGAAGCGATAATGAAACGAACGTCTTTATACTCGTAGAAGATGTATGCAATTGAAAGATGGGGCTGTGCCAGGCTGGGTCAGACTGCTGCTGGGCTGTGCCGTGTTGTTGACATCACGAGCTAATGTAACATAGGTATTATTAGCTCGTGATTACATGCATCTGCCCAGTTGTACGCGTTTCTGCTAATCTTGATGTGGCTGTGTTTAACATACCCATGCCACAACTCGCAGCTAGGGCCTGCATACCTCCAAAAGTTATACTCGGTCGGGTTTTTAACACATTCTAACTATAAAACTGTTACGTTAAAAATTATTAAAATATTTACATAAACAGGCAAGACCAAAACTGCTGAACCGGTTTAATACACAATTATGTCGTCATGTATGCAGTTTTCTTACCTCAAAACAAATGCTAGCTTTTCCTTGTTAGAAACGTCGGTGACCTCATCCGCGATGATTAAGAAGAAGAGGCTGTTCTTTACCTGGCTGAAAATCTTCTGGCGGATATAGTCGGCAATGGTGTCTATGACCTCATTTTGAATTATGCTCGATGTGTATGTGGCATTCTTGGGGCCTGTTGTTTTGAGATGTTCTTCCAAAACCTTGTCCCCAGAACTTATCCTGAAGTTCAAGAGGGCTCTGAAATTGCTGCGATCATCTTCATGACCTTTATGATTTCCACAGAGAGGCAGGTTTTGGCGCCCACACAGGATGACAGTTTCCACTATGCTCCTTATCTTCTGGCGGTTCTCAGCAATCCGGTTAGCAAGGCCTTTACTTAACTGTAAAGACATTTTTGAATATATGGCTATGTGGGACTGTGTAGTGTGTATGGCTGAGATCTAATGTACATAGTATGTACTAGTAATTCATTTAGCAGGCATTAATCGTTTTAATGTTAATAATTCAGTAGAGAGTAGAATTTGTACCTGCTCCTGCACATTCTTCTGCTGGCCCTTCATGATCTCCACCTCCAGGATGCCTTTGTGACGGATGCCTGATGGTTGCTGCTCTGGCTATGAGCCTTCAACTTCTCCGGAGTTTTGTTGCAGGTGGTCAGAGGGCGAGTCACCAGTGTTGCCTGCGTGTTGCTAAATAGAGCACAGTATCTGCAAAACAGAATCATATTAATATGCTACTATTATTATAATAAACCAAGTTATTCCAGACTTCCTTCGAACACTGCATCATTAGGCGCGCGAAACTACCGGTAGTAATATTAGTGTTAAACATACTATCACTAGAGAGAATTGGTAGGGATCTTACTTGCATACACCTCCATCAGATGATCTGGAATAAACCAGCCAGGGGAATGAGAAGAGCCACTGAATTTGGAACTTTCGGGTCTTGCCATGCTCTATGTGGGTGGGAAAGGTGAAGGTGCGTGGTGGCGTCCAAGCTGAGTTCAGGATCTTGAACCGCTCCTCATCTGTTAAGGACTTCCCCATGTAGTGGCCCATGTCACTGTAATCCTGACTTGCCAGACTTGCGGGAATAGGAGTGTTGCATGCAGAACTAGTTGTTGGCCGAAATGTCCCAATTGCAACTGTCTCAGAGGCTGCAGAAGCTTGGTCAGTATCAGGAACATCAGGGGCAGGGCTGCATGGTAGAGACAACTCATTCTCATCTCCGATTGCATCATGATCAACGTTTTCGGAAGGACCTGGGCCAGCCTGGGATGGGCCAGGCGCCGTTGCAAAATATTTCAGGATGCCTGTAGTGGCGGCTGAGGGGGGTCTTTTCCTTTTCTGAAAAAAATTATCACTAATATCAGATTCATGTATAGGATAGGCCTACCGTATATTTATAACCATGCCGTCTTGGCCTATTATTTTATACTAGCAATAGTTAGCATCTTCTATGTGTCTGGGGCCTAAACATATATATACATGTATTGATTTTATCTAGACACTAGTCCTAGGCTAACAGTTTAAGGATTTACAATCGTGAACAGATTACTAGTACTAGTAACAGCATTAATTACAGTACTCACCATCCTTGCTCAGTGAGTCAAAGTTGTTTCAGAGCTCACTGCCTGAATCACTGCCACAAAATAATACCAAGTACGCATCTCAAATCAATAATCAATGCTTTTGAGTTGACACTCATAAAATAATTGATACAATGTTGCAATGCGCAGCCATGTATTTTATAACAATGCTGTCTGGACATAATACTGTAAATACTGTACAGTGGTTACCATGGTTATGCTACTGCATGCAACTGCATGCAACATAGTATTCAGTTGGCCTTAAAACTTCAGGATATATTATTAATTGTCTCCAGGTTAAACACATCATGACAATAATTATTGTTGCACCATTAAAATGTAATTATAACCTTTTTTAAGATAAAGACTCATTGATGGTTTGTAAACTACTGAAACACTCTACTACTGTAACAGTTTTAGTTAACACTATAATTTCAAAGAGTCACAGGTCATCATCCCAGTATGTAGATTGGATGGATCACAAGACGGAGATAATTAGTCATAATTCCCAACATCAGAGACGAGTTTGTTCTAAGCATGTTAAAAAAAAAAAAATTGGCCGGACTCTTACCCACTCACCGCTCGCGGCTCGGGGCGAAGCTTCGCATCGCCATTTTGTAACCCCCCTCTGCCCCCAACCTCTGGATACGGCCTTGACACGTGCGTGCGTATACACGTACACGTGCGGGCGTGAGTGCATGTACACGTGCACGTGCGTGCGTGTGCGCGTACACGTGCGTGCGTGCGCGTGCACGTACATGTGCGTGCGTGTGCACGTACACGTGCGTGCGTACATGTGCGTGCGTGTGCACGTACACGTGCGTGCGTACGTGTGTGTGCACGTGTGCGTGCGTGTGTGTGCACGTGTGCGTGCGGATTTTCTCTAACTAAACTGTTTAAATTAAATGTGGCATTCAATTTGTCGTATATAGGCCTATATTATCTATCTACAACAATAATTTTTAGCTCGCCTTGACATCGTCAAGATGAGCTATTGCCATGGGGTGTCGTCCGTCGTACGTCCGTCCGTCCGTCCGTCTGTCCGTCAACATTTGGCTACGGTCAACGATAACTCACGAACTGTTTGACCCACATGTTTCAAATTGCATATAGTTGTTACTCATATGGGAGAGGTTTGAACGTCCTATTTTGGAGCACGCCAGTCGACCTACTTTCGAGCCACGCCCACTTTTTGTCAAAAATGAAAATGGCCATCTAAATTCATTCGATTTTGTTACATTTTGGTATGTGAATGTGTAAGGCTAGCCCCAAAACAGTTGTTACTCTTATGGGAGAGATGACAACGTCTTATTACGTTTATTTCGTCTAACTGGTCAACAACTCTACAATCATACCTATATACGTGTAATGTTGTGTTTTAGTTTCTTCGTTACAGTAATTTGACTGGAATATTTACTAGACTTTTTAGAAGTAAAAACTTTACGTGCTAATAACGTTCTCACATCGTACCTACTGATACGTAGACACTTTTCGTGCTAATAACGTTCTTACAACGTACTGATAATAACGTTTCCAAGAACGGAAAATGACGTTTAAATGACGTAACACTGTAACTTTAGCAAAAACAAATTATCTATCTCTAATAATTTGTACGTGTAGGCAACGTTGTATAAACGTTATTTCTGACTTAACCAAAATACAACGTTCTGACAACGGTGCAGTAACGTTGTGTGCTAGCTGGGAAATGCTTCATAGTGATATTTGTAGGGGAGACTGGAGGCGTGTTCAACAGCGCGAACGCTCGCGTGTTCAAAACCCTGAACGACACTGCACGGTCGAGCGCTCGTGAGCACGCGCGATCAGGCTCCCGAGGCTGTTCGCGCAGCGCGCGAGTTGTTTTCAAGATGGCGACGGGCAATCTGACGAATGCAAATCTAACACTTCTGACTACATAGTTTTCAATTTGGGCAGTACCAAGCACCAGTCGGTGTCTTACCGAAGGCGCAATTACAATCATGGGCAATGGGTCGAAATAAGGCATAGCAATTTCGTCTGTTAATTCGTTTAACAATACTTGTTCGAAGACGTGATTAAAATCTGCTGAGGAAGCCGCCATCTTGGATAAAGCGAGCGCTCGGTGCATAGCTCGGTGTCGTTCAAGTGGCACTGCATTCGTGCTGCGAGCGTTCGCGCTGTTGAACACGCCTCGGGTGTAGTTGTTACAAGTTAGTTACACACTTCGATCAAGTCGTTGTAACTTGTGAGAACAATGGGGGGGAAGGAGAGGAGCACTATCCCATTGTCTCAACCGAAATTAATGACCGAGAGATCGACGTGACTCGTGATTCAGTAACACTGGACTTTCCTTCGTGCATCTCGTGACTTATTGACGGTGCTCCTCAAACTTCAGCAAATCATTCTCCTTTATTCAGCCACTTGGATTCGCAGAGCCTGCAGATTTGTCCCAACTTTCTGTAATGCATAGCGATTCGTCTCGAATACAACTAACTCTAAATTTTCTGTGATGATCGCCCTAAAATATTCATACGGTATTTTTTTCTCTGGTTCTGCTGCAGCAGGATTGTAGGCAAAATCAATATTACAATGGAGTTCAAATGGCATTCTTCTGAATTTGTGTTTAGCATTTGCATTCACATTAGGCCTATCTCTCAGATGAGTTGCGGTCAAACTCAAAGGTCCTCAGAGCCGTCGCGATCACTTGATTCCTCACCATCATTTTTGCTATCGGATTCATGTGCATTATAAACTTGATCATCTGGGCCACCTCCCCAGCCGTCACCTTCATCATTGTCTGACAGCCCTGACAACTCGCTATCAGATTGTGTAACGGCCGCCAACACATCAGCAAATTCAACTTGTTTTTGTTTTTCGCACTCCATATCACAACCCGCAAAACAAAATATATCTACGAAATATATGTAGGAGTGATAATTATAAATAGTTAAGAATTAAAGTCCAGAAAAATCATCAGTCAAAATTCCATTTTATCCTGTATGTTATTGCCACACAAAAAGAAATGTTTGATACATATTGTATTGTACATACCTACATATTTTAAACAGTTGTTCTTGACTTAATGAAAGGTAGAAGAAACTGCAGTTCTTTAAGCACCCAGGAGTTCTTCTTTGTTAGATTCTTGCTACTGCTCCCACTAGAGGCACAGGTTTTTTTATCTTATAAAATGCCGTTTGGAGTCTATGCATCCGTTTCTTTAAGTCATCCACTGTAAAGAGAAGACAGTTATTTCCCTGCGCTTAAATGCACCCAATGCATATACTATCACAGCCTTGAAGTCCACAATATCATTCACGATATCACGTCCCTTCAAACGAAATATTTTAGTAATGTAGGCTATATTTTCATCTGTAACCAAAGCTGCTGCGAAGTCATGATCCTGTAAGACGCTTCTATCAGTGGGGCATATCCCAGTTTTTCTAAACCTGTTAACTGCTGTGATAGCAGTGGCTGCTCTCAAGTAAGCATTTCCAAACAGTTCAGCAATGTTCAGCTGAGTTCTGCAATGTTGTGACTACCATTCCAGTGTGGTTAATACGGAGCCATATCTCCAGCTGTTGGTCATAGAAAGTAGAAAGTGGTTTCATATGAGCTATCACATTGCTTCAGAAACCAACTAGGAGAAAATGTGCGAATGGTCGTAACATAGATTTATTCTTCTGACATAATTTGGACGAAATAACTCACAACATGTACACCAGCTTCAGAGTGGAGCAGAAAGAAAGCTCTATGTTACTTCATCGCGCTATATATAGCCCTCTGCATTTTGTCCGAATACACCTTACTTAATTCAACCAATCCTGGCCTGCCAGTCACAACTGAAATCAACTAAAACTGCGGTGTCAACTAGAATCAGTTCCCAGTTGATATCTGGGACCTGACACCTTCCCCCTAAAGTTTTTTTTGTTGAGCTCATTTTCTGAGCCAACAAAAATCGCAAACAGAAACAGGACGTTGACAAATATCAACTAGCAA